TCAGGCAGTGCTGAGCCTGCAGCTCAGAGCTCCCTGAAGAGGAGAACAAGGCTGTGCTGTCTGGCTCTGGGAGTGACTGGGTTCAGGAGTTCTCCAGTCCATACATTATTCCTAATCCCCACACGGCTGCTGCAGAGCAGTGATCTCACTCACGCAAGCACCCTGAGCCAGAGCATCTGCAGCAGCCCTGGGGAGCAGCTGGGCTGGGATTAATCCCATCCTGAGTGATGTGGGCAGGGATCCTGCCTGCTCAGCTCCTCTGCCCAGCCAGAGCTGTCCTCTGCTGTCAAAATGGGAGATTCACACGGGGCCTGGCCAATCTCAGGAGAAGCTGTGAGAGGAACAGGCTGAGGAACTGATGCAAAGCAGATCTGGGTTTGTGGTTCCAGCTTTGTGCAGCAGGGAGGGAAGGTGGGACTGCTCTTGGCACTGGCTGCTGCAGGAGCTTTAGCAGAAGGTGGGATACAGCACACACTGCACCCTCTCCTGCTCTGCCCTCCGATTTCCTCTTCCAGCTGTACACCAGTGCATGGAACTGCATCTTCTGGGGTCACTCCAGTGCACTGCTTCAGCATCCTCAAGGGCAGCCAACAACTCAGAAGGAGGAGTTGTTCTGACATCCTTCTCAACGTGTGCAATAACACAAAGCAATTTGCTCACTCTGTAACCCTGAACCTGGTGCCTCAGGGTGTGAGTTAACTCCTGCCAGAGCTCTGGGGGAATAGGCTCCCTCTGATCTTCCAGCAGGACAGGGTACAGTCACACAGGTGTCACCTCCTTCCTGAGCACCAATTACAGACTGCAGCTGTTGGAGGCCTTTTTCTATTTCAGTACAAACCTTGTTCCATGTCTCATTGATACAATTTCATTAATACAAACAATAGATCTCCATTATCCTGGAAGAATTTGGTCCACTGCTGTTATCACACTTGAGTGATTAATTTTTTACTACTTTTTTTTTCCAAATACCAGCTTAAAATCAGTGCAGCAACTCCAAAGTTTGGTTTCTCCAGTGCAACTTGTAGGGATGCCTTAGTATTTAGGAGATGCAGTACTTAGGAGACCCTTTATCAACTAATTTACTGACTTTGATCACGAAGTCCCAACCTTAAACTTGCTGTAAGCTTCGTCATCTGCTTCTCTCTCTGTGGCTGCTGCCCTTCCTCAGTGGAGGAAATCTAAAATGAAATGGCAACTTCTTGCCTGGCCAGGAGAGGTGGGCTGGCATCACTTTGCAAACACAGAATGAACTCCCCTCATCACCTGCCACTTGATATCCTTATCAAAGCTCAGACTGCCAGAGGGGACCCTTTTATTAAGACTGGAAATTCTATTGGGAGTACAGTCACAAGTGCCCTGACATATGGAAATGGATGTAATTTCATCTGATGAGACAGCTAACACTCAGATGGAGCAGCAGCACTGGGTCTGGGCAAGGGAACAGCCAATGAGCAGAACATGGGTGACTTCTCCCCATGTTTGAAGATTTCAAAGGCCAGAGGAGATCACTGCATGTTATCATGGCTAAAACTACAATCTGTTCTCTGCTTGTTGACCAGAATATCTCTATTTATGTGCAGCTGAAGCATACAAGCTCTCCCTGTTCTGAAGAGCACCTATTCTGCTTATTTTTTGGTGATGATAATTGTTGGGTCACACAATGGGGTGTTTAGTTAATGAAGGCATGGCAATAAAACAGCTGGAGAAAAACAAGAAATTGCACACCATAAAAGAATATCTTAATGCTAAAGTACAACTGGACATGTCTGATGAATTTCAGAGTATCACAAAACTCAATGACCAAAAAACCATGCTCTCAAATTCTGCTCTCTAATTTGGTCTGTTAACGACGCGAGGCAGGAGCTGTCATCGTGTGTCTGAAGTGGCCAGTGCTCCCAGGAACCCAAACTTATTTGGGACATTACGTGGAACTAAGAGTTTAAAAAAGGAGGAAGAATCGACCAAAATAACTGTTTTCCAGCATGATCCACAGGCCTGACCAAATTAAACCCTGAATGTGTGTATTTTAATTGTCTGTATTGCACATCTCAACACTACAGCAGTTGTACTCACGGAACCAAGTACTGAATTTGGCCCATTGTAGCATCTGTTTAATGCATGGAATTCTTTGACCCACACCATTACCTGGACAGCCATGGAAGTTCCAAAGGTAAATCTCTGTTGTGATCCCCTGTCACGACTCATTTTTGGTCAAGTATTTGTAAAACCTTTTGAGCTTGGGGATGTGCATCAAGAGGTACTGCTTTGCTCCAGGGAGGGAAGGAGCTTGAGTACAGACATTAGAAATATATTCAAGTTAAATAAACTACTTAAACACAAGATGCTAATTTAGCAGCTTCAAGGGCCATATTTCTCCAGCCAACCCAAGACATAAAAAGACACAATTTCATTAAAATAACCTAACCCCACTGTTGTTTCGAGTGCTACATTTATTCAAACACAGCCCACCAGCTCTCAATTAGCTGCTTTCACACTCCAACTGCAGCAGGTCTGCAGTGCACAGAAATATAATTATTCACACACCACCCTGTCACTGCCACCACTGTCTGTACTTCTAAAGCATCTTGATTACTGCACTGATGAGCACGATGGAAATGCCTATAAATAAAATAATCATCTCCCCTCATTAAGTTCCAGCTCGTGGACTGAGGAAGGATGATTTCCCTTTGTACGTTCCTTTTGTAAATTTTATCATTTCACAACAGAGGGAGCAGCGTGCCTCTGATGGCACTCAAAGAGACAGACTGTCAGGATTCTTGTCAGTATTTCAGCTTTGAGCAGCTTGCATTTTTGCATGAATATTTCCTCCTGAAAATAAAGCGCTGTTTGTCAGAATCACGCATGCAGTAATCTCTTTCTAATGTCAGCATCAGACATGCAAAACCCCCTAATGTCGTGTCAGGAGGTCAGATTTTATGGAGCAGTATGTCATGGAAACCCTAAGAGCCAGCATAAGCTTCTAGCTCTGACTTCCACACTAAGAAAACACATCCATAAATAAAGGACAAGCATTGAAGGAAACCATCCACTAAAAACAAAGCCTTGGTGAACCAGGTTTGCTCCTCAGGAAGCTTCAACAGCAATTGGTGCTGCAAACAAGTATCAAACATCCCATCAAATATCCCATTATTGCCAAGTCACAGTCTCGCTGCTTTCAGTGAAACTCCCAGTGGCACCTCCAACATGCAATCAAGTATCTCATTTCATAAAATGGTGAATTATAAAGCCAGAGAAACAAGTTAAATGTCGTATCAGGGCTGATCTGGCTTGCTCTCCAGCCAGGTGGAAGGGAATCACCACTTGCTGCTGTAAACAGCTAAAAGTGGGAGAAGAGAGCATTCTGATGGAAGCTCATGGAGCATCCCTATTTCTGCACCATCCAAAGCAACGTCTCACCCCCAAGCTGCCAGCAGCTCTCGAAGAACTGAGGCCACTCACAGGGTCAGACTAAGATCCTCCTTCCCAGCTGGGAGACAGCAGGACCCTGTGCCAGCATGAGCAGGGAGCTGCTCTCAGGCCAGATCCAGCTATGGAACCCTCTGGAAAGCTGCTGTGACCCAAAGGGCATGGTCCTGTGCCCAGGTGTGACCACCTCAGGGAGCACAGGTCATTTGAGAATCTCCTTCCTCTTTCCCTGGTCTCTCCCAAGGTTTCCAGTGCATCTCTCCTGGTATCACTGCTCATTTCCAGCAGGTTGCTGTGCCTATGGACAGCCACCCTCTCATGTTCAAACTGTGCATCTGAGGAAGCAAAAGTGCTGCACTGAGACAGGTGGGAAGGAAAACTTTGGCAGACAGATGGGGTTTTTTGTGTATCTGAAGCTGGAACCAGACAGTAACCAACGTGCAGGACACAGGATGGGACAAAGCAAGAATCACAGCATAGTTTGGGTTGGAAGGGACCTTAAAGATCACTTAGTTCCAGCCCCTTGCCATGGGCAGGGACACCAGACTACCAGATCAGAGTGACATGCTGCTCTCAGCTCCCAGGCACTACAATACATTCCTGGACTGTGCAGGACATTGTATTTGGGATGAACATTTTTATTTGTAAAATCTGCATTTCCTTGGACAGAGCCAGTCCTTGAATCATTTTCTCCAGAGACAGGACAGAGTTAATTTAATGCAAAACCATCAATCCCTAGACTAGCCAGCATCCAAACCCACACAAGAGGTGTGCTGCCTGACTCCAGACTCTAGAGCAGGAAAAGGAGTGACAAAAATAAGATCATTCCTCAATTACAATAAACAAAATGTTAAATCAAGCTCAGAATTGCCCTTGAAGAATCTAGCTGTTCCTAGCTCTAAAAATGATCCCCCACATTCCTTTAAGGCTTTTCATAGATACAGCAATATGAAATGGCTCATTGCTGTTTAGCTGCTAACAAGAGACAGATGTTTCCCTCAGTTCCAGCAACATGTAGACATGAAGCCCATTTTGATGACCTGCTAAATATTTCTGACTCTTTCTGCACGTTACCTCCTCATGCATATAGCCAAGGAAATGCTCCACAGTTCCACACTTTCCCTGCTCACTCTGGAGCTGCACAGAAGAGCTGCTTGGATCAATCACTTTATCTTAGCAATCCTTCACCAGAGGGCAAGGAAAGTCAAGCAACATGTTTTCACTAAGTGGAGCCAAAGCTGGAGAGTTCTTCCAGCGAATCCAGAGCCAGATCAGCTGGTGGCCACGAGCCCAAGTCCCCCTGTTATTTCTTTAGCTGGCCCAGAAGACACGCACCGCATGCTAGCGTGAAGGGCGAGCATCTGTTCCACCCAGACCCACAGCTACATTCTTCACTTGGTATTAATATCAGGGAAAAATTAGTAACCTAACCACTGGCATGAGAAGCCATACTTCTAAGGGAACAGATGGCAGCAATCATCTCAGCTTAATTTTAGGCTTCAAGAATTGCTCTGAGTCAGCAAAGCCGCGTGACGAGAGGAAGAAAAAGACACAACATCTGTAAAACCTCCTACCTGCTTCCCATCCAAGGTGTACAGCTTTTTGACCACTCCTGTCTCCAGTTTGATGGCTTCAGTGATGTCAGTGAGGACCTGCTCGAAGGAGTGGGCAGTCTTCTTGTTGAGGAGCACGCGCACGGCCTTGCGGGGCTTGACCCCGCTGCGGATGATGGTCACCAGCTTGGGGCGCACGAAATCCTTGTTCTCCTTGGCCTGGGCACTGTTGCTGCTGGCCAGGGACTGAGGTGCTTTCTGGTTGGCAGAGGTCTTCACGTTGACAGACCAGTTGGGGTTGACGTTCTTGGTGTATTCCACCTTCTTGAAGAAGTTGTCGGACGAGCAGACGTAACTCTCCCCTTGAGGAAGAAAGGAGATTCTGTAGTAAGCACCAGCTCTGTGCTCTTCCCCCAGAATCGTGCAAACCATTGATAGTTGTTTCCATTAGCACTCCCACTACAGCTTGTTCTTAAAACATTCTGCCTTGTTTTAATGCTATGTTTATGGTTATTTTAAATATTGCTGGTATTTCCACAAAGCAAGCGAGTCAGCCATCAGCAAATGGTACAATCACATTTTATGTATTGTATCTCTCAACCAGGGGTTGGGAGAGGTTGAGTTATAAAGGTATTTAGGTACCTGAAGATGCAGCTAAGCTTTCCAAAAGCTTCAGAACACCAAATTCATTTGACCACCCCAATTATTTAATAAATGTGACAGTTTTCCCTTTATCTTTACAGACCTAGGTACTACTTCCGTGTGTCATTCCCTGCCAAAAGCACATCAGCATTCATCCACATCCTTCTGCATCATGCCTGAAAAATAAGCAAAATCTTGTCCTGAACAATCTCCACTAAAAGTAGCCTTGATAAATCTAGCAGGCATAACAAATATGCACTGTTGGAGCATCCGTGGTTTATTAGGGAGCAGACCTAGTGGCAGCTGAGATTAAACACTGCACCAAATACCACTCCTTGATTTACATGGCTGATACCAACCAAAAATACTTTAAATCCAAATTTAGACATGGCAGAGAAGAGTTACAGGGACTTTTTAGTAATTCCCAAAAAGCCCTTCCCTATCCCACCCAAAATTAGTTTCAGGCTTTGTCTGTAATTTACAGGATCCTATTTATCCAAGGTTTTAAAAGCACCTTAAAGGATTTGTAGGAGCTTCTTTTGGGCCTGCAAATCTGATGGATGCTGGGAGAGTTATTACTAGAATGAGACTGTAAACCAGTATCCCTAAGGGAATGTAGCTGTCTGGTCTGAAATGACTCAGGCTGCACTGAAAAAAAGTCACTCACTGCTGGAGGAAGAAGCTTTCGTCTCGCCATTAGATAAAATTTTAATAGGAACTGAAGGCATGACCTGTAGGATTTTAGAGTCTCTTCTGGTGGTTTCTTTGTCTGGTCTTACACAATTAAGTTTTTCATGTACTACAATACATTTGAAAGCAAAATACAGATTTAACTATTTTGAAAGACAAATTTAAAAAAAAAAAAATTCCTTCTTTACAAAAAACATTTCCTTGTCTGTCCCTGACTGCAAACTACAAGGCTCAGACATCTTTGAAAAGCCTATCCAACAGCCAAGTCTGGCTTCCCACCCAGGGATCTCTAGGACAGGATTTGACATCCAGTTGGCAAAATATGGATTTCCAAACATCCCACTGATTTTTTTCCCACAGGTGGCAGTAATTTTCACATGGCCCAGGCAGGTACCATGCCCAGGATAAAGTTCATACTGAAACTCCTTCTGCTGACTAAACTGCACTTCTGATGGAGGCACCAGAACCCATGGTGAGACCACAACAGACACACAACAAACAGATTTTAACAGGCTTATATCTGTCCCTATTACTGACCAGGGTGTGATGTCACAAGCAGCCATAGAAACGATGTAGGATGCTCACTTACTTTAACCCCACCTTTGTACCTGTGATTTTTTGCCATGAGTTTGCCACCATGATGCCCACTTGTGGTGTTTACATCACCAACTGCAGCTCTTCTCCATCAGTTGTATAAAAACAACCAAAATCTTTGATCAACAGGAAGCAGATATTCTGTTTCCTCTAGTAAAGATGGAACATAAATAATGAAGAGAGAAGAGATGTTTGTGATGAACACTCAGTTGGACATTTTGACAACTGGCGTATCCCAAACTAACAATAATCCCACCAGCAGGTTCTGTTGGCCTGAACAAACAATAAAAATCTCTATTTGCTGACAGCAACATCCCTCAATAAACCAACCATGCAGCCCTGCCCATAGCTGGAGCTCCTTAATCCCCAACATTTTGTGAATCTGACTCAATAGAAACTCAAATACACTCCCTAGAGTACCACACGTTATACCAAATTCCCTGTGGGGATATCGTTTTCCAGGAGCTTTGAATACTTCAAATCTTTCTGATTAATAAGTGATAAGTTGTGGTTTATTCATCTGCTCCAGCCAAGTAACACCTGGTGCAGAGTGGGCCCAGGCTTCTCTCCAGTTTCACGACTGAGAGAAGGGCAGCAAGGAGTCTGGAATGCTCCCAGGAATTAACCATCCTAAGAACCTGAGCCCTCCCCAGCCCATAATCCCTGGGCAGCAGAGCCCTCCTAAGTGTGCTCAGCAGAACTGTGCATTATCCTCTGAGAAAAGGGATTTCTCTGTTTAAATGCAGCACTAAGAATAAGTGATTTGAGTGCTGCTGTCACCCCAGCTTCCCTGTGCCAGCTCCTGACCTCACATCCACCTCTGCTTCCCCACCTAGAACAGAAATAAACTATCAGCCACTGAAGTGTGGCAAGGCTTGACTTTCATCTGCATTCGACCTTCGTGTGTATTATTTTCACAGTGAAAGCAAGTACACATTTGCACTGTGTTCTGTAGACACCTGAGGTGCTGGAGCGTATTTTCTATTAAAAAGTTGCATATTTTAGAGTAAGCTGAAGAGATTCTTGATCTGTCTGGTACAATAACATTACTCTTAGTTTCAGCTGTGTCCTTTTGAACTCTTCACTGCACACCACAGCTGTTTGTGTACTTACACCACTGTACACCAAAGGCAACAGTGGCAAGAAGGCAGAACCAGAACCCTTGTAGAGTTTGCTCCACAGATGGGATCTCAGGCAGTTGTGCAGATCCTCTCAAGCTGTGCTCACACTCACAAGTGGAAAATGGAACCTGCCCTTTCTCCCTTTGTCTCATTTAATCCAGACCCCAGCAAATAAAATCTGTACTAAAATCTCGATTCTAAAACTGGAGAGAAATCTCCTTGGAGAGACACTCCAGAACAGCAGCTCAGGGCAGCAGCTCTTCTCAGCATCATTTCTGCAGTCACAGCAGCACAGCTCCAGGGAAGAGAAGCTTTTCTTTCCTGACCTAAGGATGTGACCTGAAGCTTTAACTTCATTTAAAAACCACTTCAACTAATGTCTTCCTTAACTCAGTTTATGACCCTCAAATAGCAGCAAAATCATCATTCAAGTTCCTCAGTGAGGCACATGCACTTGCCAGCCGAACATACCTTCCACAGTGTATTACACTTCCCACAGTGGAGTTTTACCCAAACCTTACCATGGCTTGGAGGATTGAGCAAGCATGGGCTGAAGGCCTGTGAACTTTGCAGCTTTTAACTGCACAAAGTGGCCAGGACATGATAAAGAGGAGAAATCTTATGGGGAATAGAGCTGCCATGGAGAGAGGAGTGGATTCTCTGTGGGTTCCTGTGCCACATCTGCCTGTGCTAAGCCTATAATGAGAAGTCAAGGTGCACAACTGTGCCAGCCACAGAAATGTGACTGACAGACACAGCGTGATAGCAGAAGATGTGCTCAGCATAACAGAAGGAATGGGAAGAGGATGTGAGATCTTGTCACGAGCAAAAGGAACGACTCCAAGAAGAACATTGCTCCCTAGCCCTAAGCACAAAAATCTGTGCACAAATATTTTCAGGAGCACATGTCTCAAGCCAGCAAGCAGCTGTGCACACGTGCAGAAACCCCACTGCAAGCCATGAGAAGGTACAATGGACAGCCACATCATCAATTCCAAACAAACCCCAAAAAGGGAGCCCCAAAGAGAAACCCTCCTGCACTGGGGCTGGGGAGCAGCATCCTGACAAAACCCCTGTGGTGCCAAGGACAGTGTTGGTTTAGCTGAGAGCACGATGCCCTTTTTACACTGCAGAGCCACAGCCCACAGGGGGGTGAGCGCTGTCACCATGCCAGGCTGCTCCAGACGTGTCACAATTCCTGTCGTGCCACCAAACCAGCCAAGGCATTTCCTCACTGCTCCTGCCTGCCCTCAGCAGTGGCTGGGCTGACTGCAGACCCCAGACCTGCTGGCATGACCATTGTATTTGCCATTTGAATCACACAGAATTACCCCAGCTTCAAGTGAATTACACATCCCCGTGTTACCGATTTGAGGAAGCACAAGGAGATTATTCAGCTCCTAAAGAAGGGATGATCTCAGCAAAGATAAGGTTTGCCTCGGAGACGGTTCCTTAGAAAAACCCTAAGCTCCAGATGACTGCTAATCCTCCAACCCTCTTACAGCAGCTCCCTGTGACAATACCAAAAATTACAGGCTGTGCTTTCAGGAAAAGTTATCCTTCTTCAGCATGCACCAGCATCTTTCCAAGGATAATGAACTGCGGGCAGAAGTCTTCTGAGAAAAATCAGGAAAACTGGATTGAGGCCATTTTGAATGTCTAAGTGTTAACAGTTATTCCAGGAACAGTCTCTGTGGGCAGCAGTCAATTATTTTGGCTGTTACCCCTGCAGTTACAAAGTTGAGAATGAGCTACTGTGCCCAACTTTTGTGTTTCATGGAATTTACCAGGGCTGCAGCAGGAATTAAGTGGACTTAACACCTTGCAGAGTTCATTCCATATGGTGTTGGAGGAGGCCTTGAGATTCAAATGCTTGAACTTGCTGCTGCTTCATGAGTTAAAAAGACCTGCTCCAGTTAAACAAACTTGCTCCAGCATGGCAAAAGGAACCCTGGAAGAGCTCTCTTCCCTTGGCTCCTCCATGAACAGAAGCACCTCTTGTTCTGCTGAAGAACTGGAATCAATGCCTGATTAGAAATCACCTTCAATGATGCCCATAAAGAATTTTGGGACCACACCAGTCCTAGCATGACAGCCAGGATGAGCAAGCAAATAAAACAGAGCCCCATGGACAAATTTTGTTATGTAGGATGTAATTAGCTGAGCAGTCACACCAACAGACACCCACAGAAAACAATTCCACAGGTTACCAAGGTTTCAGTATGGAACTACAGGAACTTCACTTTTCCAGGCAATCTGGAACACACGCACTGGGTGGAGATCCCAGGATGTTTCCTATAAACCCCTCAGCCCCAGCACGGACCAGACTCTGCACAGCTCCAGGGTGGAGCCCCTCCTATGATTACTTTAAATACTCCTGGACAAGATTTTGGAAAATATTCCCAAGGGCATGACAGGAAACAAAAAGCTTGGAATCGCTTTGTGGAATATCTCGCACAGCCCAAGAACATTTGCAATGAAACCACACCGAGCAAAATAAATCCTCCTCAGCTTGTTCTAGAGTTTGATTTGAAACAAGGGCAAATTTCAAACAAGCAGCCCAGGACAGGGCATAAAATCCACCTTTGGATGTGCCTTGCCTTCACTCCCAGGTTGTGCCTCACTCTCCATGTCATTATGTCAAGAAGCTGAATATGGGAAAGCAGCAAAATTATGGAGAGGGCTAAAAAAAACCCTTTTGTCCCACAAAGGACAAATGGGGACTATGGGATAATGGGGACTGGAACAAGTGGCCAAGAGCAGCATTTCTTAAGCCACCTTTGCTGCTGAAGTCAATGCACAACATCAGCTTCCACCTCTACCCAGTCCTCCATTCAAGGACAAAAAATAGTCAGAGATGAGGTGGGACAACTTCTCGTCACATCAAGTCTATGAGAAGAGGCTCAAAATTAACCAAGGACCAAACCACACATGCAGAATTAAATTTTAGCTGAAATTTGGATGCAATGTGAGCTGCTCTACCATCATCATGAGAAAGGCTGGAAAGGATGGCACATGATTATTTTAGCATCTTTCATATGCAAGTTTTATCACAGCACAAGGCACAGAATTATCAGTTACAAGTGACTCACCAGTAAATGCAGCTACATAAATCAACTCCCCAAAGCCCTGATCACTGGAACCAATTCTGTATGAAGGAGAATAAAGCCCACCTGGTGCTCTTTTCCAAAAGATTCATCTGCCATGATGAAGAGCAGCACCCTGGGCCAACATCCACTCCTGACCCAGCCAAGGCAGTGGAACACAAGTGGAAGGATGAGCTGGAGCAGGATGCTGCCCTGCACTTAACCAGCACAGAGATTAAGGAGGAATGCAGTCCTATGCAACATCAGCAGGTGCATTATTTATTTATATTAAAGCTTATTACTGTTATATTATTATTAATAATATTATTTATTTATATTAAAGCTGAATGCTGAAAAGAGGAAGTCAGTATTGAGACAATGACCACAGTGATGGAAGATGGCTGCTAGGACTGAAAAGGGGAAGAGAAAATGATCAGGTGGGTGGATTTTTAGAGAAGGTCACTGGGAGATGAGACAGCTCCCTGGAAAAGAATGGAAAAAGCAACCTGTGACCAGTGAGGGAGAACTCAGCTGGCAGCAAAAGGCACCTTATGACAGAGCCCTGAGTGTTTCCAAAATGTGAGATGTTAGGGTGCAGTACAGGAAAGGACCAAGAGGCTCAGCCCAACAGATGGAAGGAATGTGAAAAAAAGAGCATGAAAAACTTCACTTGTTCTCATTATGGGAGTAACCTTGAGTGACAGGGAAGAACTCTGGGTCTGGAGAACAAAAGGGTGATTCCAAGCCCCACTTAATTAGCAGCACACCATGTGGGGTTTGTTCACCTGAAATTCTGTCTCTAGGATATTGGTGCTGTGCAATATCATTCTCTACCCTCCAGAACTACACTCAGGCTACACTATGTAAGGACATTTTTCAATCAGAAGTAATCAAGCACTTAGAATGTGAAATATTGTCAGTAGTTCACAAGTTTTTGCCATCAAACCACTGAGATAGGGCTCTTTGATGACTTTTCCTAGATTCTACTTGTTTATTGAAATTACAGTGATAAAACAGCCCCATTATAGCAACAAGCACTGGTTTGGTTACCCTCAGTCTCCAAGCAGAAAGCAAATTTATAAGAGACATGCCCTGGTTGTGTGTGCACTGTTCCTGAAACAGCAGAATTACTCCCAAATTCTGGGTTTCATGCAGGTACCTTGCACACAGCTATGCAAACACCCAAGCTAAGGGCAGAGTTCACCACAAGGGCTGGTTATAACCATGGTGCTGTAAATTGCTTTTCTACAACAGCAGCGTAGGTCACCCCTAGAAATATGGGATCAATCGCAGCATGGTCAAAAAATGGATTCCTTTGTCTTCACTCTCCTCAGGTATTATTTTCTTAGATGATGCTCTGCTGAGGGCACAGCCACACAGACAATCCCATTCTGGTTTTAGTGCCTCTTCGGTGCTGTTTCCAGATGCCATTTTGTCAGAACAAAGCCAGAACCCAAATGCCAGCATCTCCTTTCTGTACCTTAACCAGCAAAATGTATTTTCATGAACTAGGTACCTCCTTACCTGCAGCAAAACCCATTTAAAGCAGGTGTAACAACTAAAGCTTTCTTAACTTCACTGACAAAAAGCAGGAAGAGTATAACAGGAGGAAGAGTGTAAAAAGAGAATAATGATCACCCACCTGATCATTTTCTCCTGGAGTTATTTCTGAAGATTTGCTTAAAACCTAGGACAAGCAGGACTGAAAACTGCCATTAGAGAAAGGCTGTGGCCATATTAAGAGACCAGAATGAAACATGGCAGAATCTCTAAAATTAAGGGAGGCCACACCTCCATTCGACAGCTGAAATTGGGCTGAGAATAACTCCACCAGGAAGAATCACAGCTCTGAAAGGCAGCAAATTCTTCCCAGGAAAACTCCTCTATGGAAACCAAGATTTATTCCACGTCCTTGTCCCCTTAAAGTATTTTGAGGAGATGAGTATCCTGCCTGACAGAGAAGGAATTCTAGGGAGAGCTGCTTTAGTCAAGGTCACACAATGACTCGCAGCCGAGGCTGCCCCTGCAGTTCGTGCCTCACGTACTCACACCCATTGTCTTCCACTAGAGGCAAAAGCCTCGTGGATTTTTGGTAGTCACCGAACTGGCCAGGACGTCTGCTTGGAGAAAAACACCAAGGAAAAAGGAAGAGCACCTTCCCTCCTGCAACAGGATATTCCAGGTCGGAACAAAGAATGAATTGCTCGGGGAAGAGAAAAGCAGCGTGGCTGTGGGTGCTGTTTTTATACCCCACTCCGGCTCTGCTGCCTCGGGCACGGAGGCAGGACTGGCATCGCAGCAATGCCATCCCGGGGCTGTGGCTGTGCTGGCACTGCCGGCAAAGGCAGCGAGCCGGGGAGCGCCCCGGGCTCGGGCACGGCTGGCAGCTGAGCTCCCCGGGAGCAAACCTTCCTCAGGGCATCCCTTCCGAGCAGCAGGGATTTTCGGCTCATCCCTCGCCCCGCAGTGATACGGACGGGCACAGCCACACCCCCTGGGGACGCGGGGACACGCTGGGCCCTGCCCCGAGCACCCCCAGACCCCAGAGCGGGGGTGCTCCCCGCACTGCCCCGGAGCCCCCGAGGCGCTGCTGTCACCCAGCCCTTCGTGAGCAGCACAGGAACTGCCCGTGCCCGCTCTGCGACACCCCCAGACCCCTTACAGCCAGCCCAGCACACCCCCACACCTCCTGAGCACAAACCCCAGCGCCAGAAACCCCACAGAGCTCTGCAATTAACCCTCCTCACCCCATCCTCCACACAGACACATGCATAAACCCCAAATTTCACCGAGTGCAACCTGTCCAAAACGCCCTTCTCTATTCACATTAAATCCCGTCTCTAATCAGGTGTGAATGCCCAACGCATCCCTGCACACGCTCCCCAAACACACCCCCCAGCACCCCACCCTCCAAGCATCCATCGCACCCCAGCACCCTTCTCCGCAACCCTAGGTGCCCGCCCGGCCCTGACCACACCCCTCTGCACACACATCGCGCGCACCGCACCCCAAAATTCACCCCCAGAGCGCACAAACCCTTCCCACCCCCGCCACACAGTCGCTACACGGGTGCCTCAACCCCAGCTCCCTTCCCATTCATCCCCACCCACCGCGCCGGGAAACCCAGCCGGGCTCAGCCCAGCCCTGGGGACACCCTGGGGCACGGCCACGGCCGGGAGCGGACACACGGACACGGCCGGACACACGGACACGGCCGGGAGCCGGACACACGGACACGGCCGGGAGCGGACACACGGACACGGCCACGAGCCGGACACAGAAACACAGCCGGACACACGGACACGGCCGGACACACAGACACGGCCGGACACACGGACACGGCCAGGAGCGGACACACGGACACGGCCACGAGCCGGACACACAGACATGGCCAGGAGCGGACACAGGAACACAGCCGGACACACGGACACGGCCGGACACACAGACACGGCCACGAGCCGGACACACGGACACGGCCACGAGCCGGACACACGGACACGGCCACGAGCCGGACACAGAAACACACCCGGACACACGGACACGGCCGGACACACGGACACGGCCAGGAGCGGACACAGAAACACACCTGGACACACAGACATGGCCGGACACACGGACACGGCCGGGAGTGGACACACGGACACGGCCGGACACACAGACATGGCCAGGAGCGGACACAGAAACACAGCCGGACACACAGACACGGCCAGGAGCGGACACACGGACACGGCCAGGAGCCGGACACACGGACACGGCCAGGAGCGGACACAGAAACACAGCCGGACACACAGACACGGCCGGACACACAGACACGGCCGGACACACGGACACGGCCGGACACACAGACACGGCCAGGAGCAGACACCCCTCCGGCCCCACGCCGCACCGCGCTGGGGACCCGGCGGGGCCGGCAGCCCCGGCACCCTCCCGGCGGGGCACAGCGGGGCTCGGCACCCCAGAGCCGGGGAAAGGTGACCTTGCGGGCAGCCCGAGCGGTGCAGCCCCTCCTCCCAGCCCTCTCCTCACCTTCCTCCAGCTCGTCCATGCTGCCGATCTTCCGCGAGCCGTCGATGGTGTAGATGTAGCGCACTCCCTGAGGCAGGTTGATGTTGTCGGACAGGGACCGGGTCAGGTCCGCCAGGAGGGCGTCAAAACTTCGGAAGCGGTCGGAGGACACGGCGTATACAATCCCCTTGAAGTAGCGGTCCCCGTTGCGATAGAAACGCACCTTCTTGGCTTTCTTCTCGTTGCTCAGCGCCTGTAAGGTCCGGGTTCTGTAGAAGCTACAGTGAGCACTGTGAGTGGGGCTGGGCAAGCCGTTCATCCGTGTGCCTCGCATGTTTCTGGACGCCTTGTCTCTTTCGTCAAAGTGTCCAAAATCAAGTTCCATAGTTTGGTGAACCCTAAAGATCTGAAGCTGGGCAGGAAGGAGATGGGGAGAGAAGGAGGGCAAAGGGACGGGTTAGAGCCCGGCAGAGCCACAATCCGGAGAGCAAAACGACGCTAAGGCTGTGTCTGGAGCAGGACAGATGCATTTGGGAAGCGCCCCCTCCCCTGACCCAGATTTGTATCGATTCTGGGGACTGAGAGTAGGAGGGGTCCTCGCACTTTGAAAGGGATCCAACTGCTGGGGGCAGGGAACACGTTTCTAGAGAGCTGCCTGCTCCTGCACCTGGGAGTTTTCAAAGTGCAGCAAATTGGGACTTGGGGCCAAAGGCATGCATGGCAATCACAACTCAGCCCCAAAAAAACCCTCATCCAAACACCAGTTGGCGATGAATTAAACCTCTGAGCCCTGTGAGGTTTCCTTTGGCAACAGAAAACAAGGAGATCCCAGTAAGTCAGCCCTTCAATCTGTCGAATCACGGAAGGACCCAGAGCATCTGAATGTTTAACATTAGAATAAACTGGCATTTATGAAAGAATGGTCACAGGGGAATAAGCAGTTTCTTTGTGACAGCCTGTTCAATAAGGGTTAGCAATGAGATCCAGCCCACCCTTCCCCCTATCCGCAGCCCCCTCCTAGCCCATCAATCAATTCCCAGGACCAGCCTACATCTCTAAGAAGAAATGACTGCAAAGAAAAATCTGTCATTGAAACGCAGCTTCGGTAAGCTCTTTTCAGCCCGAGCCTCCTCTGAATTGCATTTTTGCTCCCGTTTAATGAGGAGGAGAAAATAAAGGGGCTATTTCCACCCCCCGGCTTCCAGCCCTAAGTGATTTAATCGCTGGAAGTGCCCGTGCCCCAGGGACACGCCGCCCCTGCTCCTCACCTTTCATTGTTCTGAGCACGGGGGCTTCCAGCAGGGAAAAGCCGAGGCTGGAGCTGACACCCAGCGAGCAGGAATTTTGCACTGTCTCTAGTTTATGCTCGAGAGCAACCTTTCCCCTGCACCAAACCCCAACACAAAAGGAGAAGGAACCCCCCAACCCTACAGTCGAGACCCTTCCACTCCCCCGGCTCCACCAGGCACATGCACCTCATGTATGTGGTTCTCATGTTAACACAGGGCTGAAAGGGGATTTACAGCACTTGGCAGCCAGGTATAAATCCAGGAAAAGCTGTTGCTATCTCATCCCCGCCCTTTACACTCGCCAGAATGAAGCTCCTTCCCTGTATTTTACAATGTCAGCGTGACCCATGCAAGAAAAAATCATTGTCCCCAGGCTGCAGTGAGGCAGATGACAATGCAGGCATTCCACACAGAAACCCCAAGTTGGGAACCTTCCCCCCACGATGCCAGCTGGGGTAGATTCAGTCTGGTGTCATGCACTGAACAATGAAACATCCAAGCAACTTCGGGAATGAATCAGAGGATGCAGGGGTTTTGATTTTAAAATGAACTGCAGATGCTGTAAGGCACCAAGAAAAGATTCCTCCTGTTACTTTTCTGCATGCAAGTCACTCAGGAAAGCTCTACTCACCGGTTTTCAGCGTGCAGGGTGGAGATGCTCAGAGAAAGAAAACCAGGCTCACTCTGCCTTTGTTGTCTGAGCTCCAAGCAAGAAATTCCTGCCAGGGTGGATGAGACGCCTCCTAGGTCCTAGTGCCTTGTTCCATCCCTTCACAGTAACTTTGCCTCAGTGATTTTCAGTCTCACCATCAGCTGTCTGCTCCCAGGCTGTGTGTGAGGGGAAAACGGGGGGCTGATTCCAGCTCTGGATAGGTCAACAAATCAGTAAACAAAAGGTTAGAGGGGCAAGTTTGGGGGTGGTGTTTAGAAGGATGCAAATTTCCCCTTGAATCCTGTTGTACCAAGAAATCATCTGGCTCAACTGAAAAATATAAAATTAGGAAAAAAACACAGGGTAATTGCCCCAGTCCTACAGGAGTAGCAGTACAGGGGGGGTCACAGTCACAATCCCACAGTGTGGCACAGAGCTGGCACAAGACTCCTGGGTGTTAGGAAGGCAACTGAGAAAATCTCTGACCAGTGGAACTGGGCACAATCCTGCTCCTGTGCTGGTTTTACACAGCATCTGTGCTTTACACTGGCACGCAGAAAGGGAGAATTCACTTGGTGGTTCTGCATGAGGTGCCCCTGAATACTTTTTCTCTGTTAATATTGGACACAAGCCAAAGCCAGAGCGCTGAATCCCAGTTCATTCAAATCCCCAGGGGCTTTGGGATGGAGTCATCCAGCACAAGCCAAACCCAGCAGATCCAGCATTGCTCATATCCCACAGTAAGATAAGTTTATTTTCTGATTCCATTACAGGAGCAGCCAGCTGTTAAAAAATTGTCCTGAGCTCTTTCACTTTGACAGCAAAATCTTTCACCTGCTTTCTGGGTGGAGATTTCTATGCTGCAGCACCACTAACCCTGCTCCTAACCCCGCTGGTGCTGGCCTCATCTTTACGTTAGAAAAGAATGGGATTTGGAAATGGGAGAGTTTTCCCATCTGTAGAAGGAAATCTTTCCTAACAACACTGCGTCTGTTTCGAGTGAAAACATCAGATGTTGTCATTTTGGCACATCACAGCAGTATCACATTTAAACAGAAGGAGTTAGTATTTATTCCAGCTTTGTCTGCCCTGTGCATGATAGTCCAGGCAACACTGACACAAACCCACTGAGAGTTCCTCTCTGTTTGCCAGCAACTTTCACACATGACATTTGTAAAAAGTTTCTTATTCCCTGAAATCAGCCTTTTATTCAAAGGCTCCCACGCATCCCCTGCTGGAGCTTTTGGCTGCTCCCTTGTGTTCATGGTCAGATCACTGCAGAGCAGACAGAGCTGCTCTCCTCCCTCAGGAATTAGCCCTGGAGAGGAAGAACAGGGTCTGTCCTCTCCAGGGTATATTTCAGTGGGTCTCTGGATGCAGTTGCAAGAGGTTATGTGGGACTTCAAACCTTGTCCTTCCCATTTGGTCCTATTTTCTTAATTAGATAATTCCTGGCTGTTCATCACTAGGAGCTTGATCTGTCCAGAATTAACAATTCTTTCCTTTAACACAACACTTCTGTAAATATAAATCTGCCCGTGCTTTAAAAATTTGCCAAAAATATAAATCATTCAGCATGTGCCAAGTACAGCAGCAGCAAGAACAGAGAAAAGGAGAATCTTCATTCAGCCTTCAGTAGCACAACAGTTTTGACAGAGAAGAGGAAATTTTTGGGATGACGGCTCAGGATCCAGGTACTATGCCAGAGCTCACCTGGGTCAGGGGTGGCTCCGTGTGGTGGAAAAACTTCTCCTCCCACCCGTGCTTCCAAAGAAAGGCTCAGCAGTCTCTGTTGTTTGGTCTCAGGGCAGTTTATTGCAAGTTATCTAAAAGATTTTCTTCTTGGGCTGCTGTGGTTTGCTCACAGCTCAGGCAGAGGCACACACACACCCTGACATCCTCTCTGACTCCCGACTGCTTCTTCTCTCCCCCTCTGCCCAGGGCTGCTGCTGTCTTTTATATGGTACATTACGTGTTACATGGGTACAGTTTTTCCCCAATGCCTATTACCTATATTAAATGGTGCCTTTCTACTCTAAACCAATCTGTGAGTGCCAACATCACCAAGAACATGGAGGTGAGGAAGGAGAAAGAGGGAGGACAGGGCAGGCCCAAATCCCTCCATCTTAAAACCTCTGACCCCCATGTACAAAGTAAAACCCCCCTGTACAGCACTCATAAATTCTTCCCTCTACTTTGTAACTACTTCTACTATAATATCTAAACTTTTGTGACTTCTTGTTCGACCTGCAAGGTTGGTAAATCGTTCCATGGCTCAAACCCAAAATCACAGCTGTTTCCAGCTGCTTGCCAGGGTCTCAAATGCTTCTGACCAGGGCCCAGAACCTCCAAAAATGTCTGAGGGACATTTTGAGTTCCAACAGTACTACACCAATGTAACCAGGCAGGATGATGTAGACACAGGTGGAATTGTACCACAATGTGTCAGTCTCCCAAATTTGACTTGTATGGGAGGTTCTGAGGACAGCAAAGGGTGTCCAGCATCATTAACAGATGGCTCTTCTTTCTGCATCCCAGCCCAGAGCTGCTGTGAGAGGAGCGTGTCTGCACGGACACGTCTGCTCAGGACAGGGACAGGAGCTGTTTGAAGCACAGGCACTTCCTTTGCAGGGCAGTTTAACAGAATTACTCCAACAAGAAAACTGGGATTTGTCCCTGGCTGAGGGATACGGTTTCTACAGCAAATCATGGTAATGTCATCTTGGGTAAAACCTTGAGTTCCTCCTAAACAGTGCCCAAAACACCTCCAGTGTGTCCTCCTTTAATCCTCCACAAGGTCAGGAGCATCTCACCAGCCAGAGCACCATCAGAGGTGAAGAGCCCTGGAGCCAGACTGATTTCACATGTCCTCAGTGAAATCACACCATATTTGCTTCTCTCCAAGTGAGAACAGAATCACCTCAGACCACAGGCATCAGCACAGAAATAAGCAGCACTTCCTTGAGGAAAGCAAGGGCCTGCTCCTGACTTCATTTCTTCCTCAGAGCTTCTTCCTTGGCCTTAAGGAGTTAATGCCAGTCAAAACATATTTATATCAGAAGAGACTCACCCTCTGAGACATCACAGTCTAAACAATTTTAGGCAGTGTGAGGGATTGAGAATTGGAAAGGAAATTCCACTTCCCATCAATAATTTCATCTAGCTGCAAAGGAAAGATAAATTTAGCTCTTCAGATTAAATTATCTACTTTAAATCAGATGAATCATCTTTCCTCCAGGAAGGTAATATTTAGAGTTTTGCCTGTGTAAATAAATCCGTATAAATACATGTTTGTTGACATTGCTGAGCAACTGTGACACTTTGGAAAGGGACAGACTGCAGGTGACAGGTTGTGTGAATGCTGTGTGCTAATTTCTTCACATACACCTAGAAAATCCAGTTCCTAGCATCACTAGGAGCTGCAGTCTCAAATACTCTATGTCAATGCCCTGTTGCTTTGCTATGTAACTTCCTGACTTCTGTAAAAATTGCCTCTGATAGCACAGCACATTGTCTGAAGAGGATAAAAGTTGGGGTGATAAGCAGCCAGGGTCTGGCTGTACCACAGGATCACAGAAAAATCAAGTGATCACTGGGTTAGAAGGAAGCCTTGGATCAACATCTCCAAGTCAGTCTATTTAGAAGCACGTTTTTAGTTACATTTCTTACTTTAACCTCTGTAGTTCTGGACAAATTGGAAATTGTCATCCCTGATCACTGCTGTCAGAGCTCTGCTTGATGTAACTTAAACACCAAAACTCTCTGAAACCACAAGTTGTTATTTCAGGGGTCTGACAAGTGTGTCATGGCACTCACAGCTGAAATCCCATCAAGTCAATGGCTCAGTCTCGACCCTATAGAGCAATATCCTTTAAATCTGAATGTTCAGAAGAGCTGAGAGTTCATCAAAGAGTTACCCTACATCAGGCTATGGAGTTAATTCCTCCTACAGAATACTACAAGCGAATAAGCAATGGGGACTTGGCAGGCTTTCACCACATAACATTTGTTTCCTTTGG